GTGGACAGAGGCATTCTACATAGCTATTGTAAAAAAGAAGAAGAGAAATTTACCAAAGAAACTTACATCAGTTGCACAGTACTGATGTAAAAATAACAAAGGTAATGTTTAATAACCAACACTTACACGTGTCGTCCATTCCACGCAGGTACCCTTAACAAGAAAGCAGTCAGCTGTAACGAATGCGAAGGGTATATCCCAGTGCTGATATCGGAGATAGGGAAACAAATATGGCGTATGCCTATCTAGTCTTGTTAAGCTTTAAGTTATTTCCTGGTTGCTATAGTCTCCTTTTGAAATTTCTTCGAGTTAAAACTGTATCTACTTTTGTTGCTTTAATTGAAGTTATTAAAATACAATTTCGATTTTCATTATACTTATATGAACACGTATTATACCCAGCTAGAAACAGCATCAACTTTATATTTATGGTGGGTTTTTTTTTTTAATCATAAATATTTAATTCAAATCATGTCAATATCAAGTTTGTCGTGCCAGTACGTTAAAAGATTGATTCAAGCCATATAACTGCCACAAAAAAGAGGAAGACCTCTATGTATATAGCTTAAAGAACACAGGGTAGGAGTTAAAAGTATTAAAGACTGAAATGTGATTTTGAAGAATTTCATCCTTAGAATTGAAATTGATCTGTGGTATAAGTAGGATTTCCAGTAGAATGAAGTATTAAGATAACGAACAGTAATTAAGCTCAAAAGTCCACTGAGACAACACAGATCGGAAGCAGAGCAAAACACGGACCTCTAAAAACATCAGAGATGGGATCAGGTGCCATGGAGGAGTTAGCATCCCCTGTCGACCGGTCACACCCTCCGTGTGCTCCTTCTCATGATCGGGCAAAGGACAAAATAAGTTTAGACAATACAGTGTTTAAATAATGACCTACCAATTAGTATAAAAAACGTCAGTCTGCATTTAACTCTATGATAGATTGAATTTGCTGCCAAGTTCCTTGTATCGACCATAAAACTTGCGAAATGATGACTTTAAACGAAACTGTTGATATCCTTGTTTCATCAACTTGCTTGAAAATAGCTTGCCTCGTTTTAGAAAATGTTCGTATGTGGAGCACGCTCTTGCGTATCGAATCAACTGGGAGATATAAACCCCATATGAAGGTGATAAGGGTATACTGCTACATAAGTAAGGGGAGTTTGACGATAAAAAAGTTGAAGTCATCACATTTATCACAAAGTTTTGTTGTTAGGTTATCATTAACTTCTTTTTCTAGAAAAATATCCAAATATGAAACAGATGTGTCAGACTTGTTGGTATATTTTATCTCAAGTTCTCTGGGATACATCGTGTCGACATATGAATGGAAGTAACTAGTGCTAATTGTAATACGTCGTTGATATATCCAAATGTCGAGTTGAAGGCCACAGCAAGTTACTTCTTATTCTCATGTATAATTTTTTAATAGATTCTGCTTCATATAAATACAAAAATAGGTCTGCAAATAACGGGGCGCAATTGCTACTAAGAATTGAAACCAAGTTCTTCTAAAATACAAATACAATAATGAGTCTCACAAATAAAGACGAGTTGTATCTTTACTTGCGTCAATAAAACATAACAGAAATACATTTTATATATGACATATATATCCGTCCACCTTCATTCAGCAGAGGTTCTATTAAAAAACTAAACTTGTCAGTGTGTAGTTGTTGTATTTTTAGGCATAATGGAACACAGCAATGATTGCAAAGTTAGGGAAAACTTTGGATAATATCCAAATCCGCGGTATTTAGTGTGAAAAATAGTTGCAAGGCAGGGCACAGTTGAAAAAACAACTTCAAGGAAGGCAACATAAATAGCTTCGAGGGGGCTTGTTAGACTAGTATTAGTAAACAAAATAAACCCTCAAGCAGGTCACTAGCAAGTATAATGAAAATAACAATAACCATTCTTCAAAAAATTAAAAGCAAAACAAATAAATATACAATTTTTGTTTTTAGATATCAATCAAGGGTGTACATGTATGTCTCTAGGAAAAAATACTCAAGTTGACTTCCTGGCTGCATTTTACCCTGTGCCATAAAGTAAACCTTCCTCAATAGAAAACCATCTCCCAAGAAAATGTAAATCTTCCTTTATATGGTAAGGAAGACTAATTTTTGATCATGAACGGTTGAGTTAATCGGAAAATAGGGGGGGGGGGAGGGAGGGGTTTAACGTACTATGACGTACTGCGGCATGGCGTCGATACATTTTTCTAAGTGGATAATGATATAAACTCACAGAAAAATACATTGTATTATTATTATTTAAAACAACCTGTGGTTTATGGTGGTACAGCGTTTTATCATTTTATGGATGAAAACAGCTTTGTTCACAGATCTGTGCTTTCTAAAAATAAGAACATACCATCACTAGTGAGGCCCGCACGATCCCCGATCTGAAAAATTTGGCTGGTAATTGAAAGAGAACTTCAAAGTAATACTTGATAATATAAACCGCACTTTAACTTATACAGTTTGAAAATTTGAACATCTTCTAGTGGACATTATTTTAAATCCATGTACACGTGCACATCAATGCCACTAATGTATATCAGTTCAAAGGGCCCCAGGGTATATTTGGTAAGACGTTATTTTCCCCTGTTCTTATATTCATATATAAAACAAAATATTAATTATTGCATGGTTCTGCATTATGAATTCTCTTTATTCTTGACTGATATGTCTTTTCGAAAACAAAATGGCGACGCAATTGTGCTTATACTTTGATCCACAGTTGTTAGTTTAAAATCAATATGTTTTTATTGAGAAATTCAAATAATCGCATTTTTTAACTGGTCGCAGGTGTATTGAAGAAGACGTGTTTTAGACATTTTTAATTAAATCACAATGACGAAGAAGTTTCACAACTAGTGCAGTCATATCAAGGACATCGCTGACCTCATCGTCTAGTCCTCAAGAAGATTCACACCCAGTTCACTCATATCAAGACATCGCTGACCTCAGCGTCTAGTCCTCAAGACCAACAGATTCTGTAAAATCACTGTCAACATAGTGTGTATTAGGCCAAGGTTGTCCTTCAAGTGTTTTTCATCTTCTAGAAATTGCAACAAGCTATAGCTCATTTAGGATATACTAGATTGACACTAAAGTCTGACGCCTGTTTAAGTGGTATACATATGATCAAAAAGTAGTTACCTTTCTTAACTTCAAAGAAGATCATATTTTGGAGTATTTGGCTAGTTTAACCTACAATTATGGGCTTTTGAGATGGAAAATATCACAAAATATTAAATGTGATTAGGGTTGACAACCCTACTCAGACCTGATAATTTGTTTTGTCTCCCTTCTCAGCAGCCATAATAGTTTTATTATCTTGAAGAATCTAAATTTGATAAACAGAGAAGAAAATATCAGTCAAACCTCTTGTGTTATCCTACCAACTGCCTTCAAAATATGTCAACGGTCATCTTTGCCGTCACCTTTACAATTATTGCTATCAATCCCGCAAATATATATCAGTTACATGTACATATATGAGTAATCTCGCTTATACTGAATTCCATTTCCATTTAATAGGAAACAACGCAGTTGTCATCCTGTGCGCTCGCTTGCGCTATTTCATTATACATCTGAAGGGAGACAACCTAGTTGTCACCCTGAGCTTGAGGGATACATCTCGAAATTTCTCCAAGCACGTGACATGCTCCAAACCATTCCGATTGACTGTATCACAATGAAGGATAAAAGTTAATAACTGATCACCAAAATGATTGTTGACAATCATTATGTTGACAGTACTAGTCTTCTTGATATTTTCATTGGATAAGACTTTTCAACCTTACTTTCAGAAAAACACTTTCAAAAGAAGAAATATTACACCTATTAAGATAAGTCTTCAGTTGGTCTTTGTAAACTGTAGTTATTTTTTCTGACACTACACATAATAAAAGTTGCTTGGAACAAAAATGTTACTTTGGATAATTATTTAATGATTAACATAAATTATGCTTAGATATCCGTAGTAAAATACAGTAAAACAATGATTATTGATAGATTTTATGTAAAATGAAATAAGGAGATAACAAATAGCAATCATGCTCAAACGTCTATAGAAAGAAATACAAATCGGAAGCAGAGCAAATACGGACCTCTGAAAGCATCAGAGGTGGGACCAGGTGCCATGAAGGACTAAGCATCTCTGTCGACCGGTCACACCAGCCGTAAGCTCCTTGTCATGATCGGGCAAATAGGAAAAATCTGAAAACAAATCCGAGTGTAAATATTAGCCTAACAATTAGTATGAAGAAAGTCAGTCAGCATTTGATTTAATGATAGATTGTATTTGCTGACATTGTATCGACCATAGAACTTACGAAATGTTGACTTCGAACGAGACTGTTGATATCTTTGTTTCATCAACTTGTTTGTCAATATACTTGTTTGTCAATAGCTTGCCTCGTTTATGAGATTTTCGTACTTAGAGCATGTTCTTGCGTCAACTGGGAGACATAATGTTTTTATTTTGTCGATAAATGGAACAGAGTAAATCAGAGTTTTTTTCCAAATAATTCATTCAAAGGTAGGCTCATGTTGTTTACACCATACTACATAATAATCTACCGTGACTCTTTCCAATACATTCTGTGAAATCACTAATTGCGTGGGGTTTATTTTCAGTTATTTTCATGGCACAAAGAGACCCATGAAGTCATGTCCTTCAAAAAATGTAAAAATTGTTGACCATCATGACGTCAACCACCCACGAAATCAAATCCCCAAAACCATTTTTTTCCCTCAAATCACAGAAATTTGACTCAAATGAAAATAAAAGATATATAAATAAAGATGTTTGAAGTATTCCTTCTTCATAAAATTTCTTTGAAGATGTCTCATATTGACAGCATTCAAACACAACAACGACACAATCTACGTAATAGGAAACTCCAGAAACTCAAAAGAAATTCAAAATTACATAAAAACTGATTTATTGTAACGAAATAAATCATATATGACTGAAATAATTGACAAATTTTTTTTAATATTTAATATGGTGTATGTATTATTCATTACAAATCTAAATTACAAAGAAAGATTAAAAATTTGCTATATCTTCATATTGACCAAGGAACTAAATTCAGGGCTCCACAGGTAAGATTCTTAGCATTATCACAAGAATTATCCTTGGGGGGGGGGGGGGGGGGGACAGATCTATGTCACATGGATTTATGAAGTAACTGTTCTCATCGTATTACTTTAATTACGCCAAAAATCTTCCTTATTACTAAAATTTTCCACAATTGAGTTAATTCTTGCTGATGGTCATTTTTCGTATGACTTCATTATGAGATGATTGTGTACTGCGGGTGTGGGGGGAGTGCTGAGGAGACACATAAATATAGTTGCTTCTAAATTACCTTAATGAATTTGGATTGATCATTGTTTTAAAAATTAAATAGAATTGATACATAAAGTCCACTTCATATAATACAATCTGTGACGTCATGATCGTATGGTTACAAAGAAAATTATAATTTCAACATTTAATTTCAGTAAGAATCAATTGAATTCGAATTACCATTTGAATGAAATACAAAAATGGAAATAAGTTCAGCTTAAAGCATTCTTCTGTAATGTATTGTTGAATTCAGTAGCCATCTTTATAAATTGCCCCAGCGTCATATCTGCTTCTGGTTTCTTAATTGAATCATTATCATTAAGAAATAAATCCCTTGGATCTATGTCACTCCATATAGATGTGTTCTTGTTCTTGGGCAAATTCCCAACATGACGTATTTTTGTCCGTGTGAGTGCCAGAATAAGAACACAAGAAATGATAAAAGCCAGAACGAGGCAAACAAGAACGATAATCGCTATTTTCCTCCTCATGATCCTTCTTATCAGGAATCTGCCGTTGTTGTTGCTGAAAAAGAAATATTGTACAATTATTATGTAATCTTATATAAGTTTAAAAACTTATTATTTCTAATTGCCATTAACGTAAAGTGCATATATTTGTCATCAAATGTCTGACAATATAGGGAAGATAGCATCTGCAATCACCACAAAGCTGCAGTTTGTTCAATGAAAATCTATGTAGAATTTTTCTACTTTTCAAGAATTAAATATGTAAATAGACAAGGCTTAATTTCTAGAAGAAAGAAACTTATTCTTTTTGCCGTGTATGTTGCCAAACGTCATATCTTGAGACATTTAATTACTTTCAAAAAAACGTTCTTGCCTAGTATCTTTACCAGTAACAAAAATATTATGTTTAACTATAGTACACTTAAGGAGGTTGGATCCTGCCATCAGAAGTAATGAGCATTTTTTATCAAGTATATTTTTAGAATTTATACACATAGCTTTATTAAAAATCATAACAAAAAATGGGGGTCAATGCGCTTCTTTTGGCGCTACAGAGCATTTAGTTTGACCTTTTTGCACTGTAAATACGTCTTACACATAAATCAATTTTTAAAGTTTTTCCTCCAATATTTTTTGTTCAAGTAAATTATGGGCACAAAAAAAGTCTTCTTTCATCTTAAATAGACACATAAAAATTTGTGACAACGAAGAAATTTTCAAATTACTCCTCATGTTCAATTATTTGACCTTTATGCACTCAAACATTTTCATTTTTCTGGCATTAAAAATTTAACAAGCAAAAAAAATCATTTAAAAGTAATGACATTTTACTGAATTTAAAAAGAATGGTTAAAAGTATCATATATATTCAGGAAAGAAAATTAAAAGTTGGGATCTGTGATGTTAATTTTTAGATATCACCAAAATAGTGCTAATTTTAAGCTTAAATTAGGGCTATTTTTTTCTTCATTTTCACAATATATTTGCTATATTTATCAAATATGATGATAGAATTCATGACAGTTTATTTAATAGATAATTTAGGACCAGTATAAAACAGCCCACTGCAGAAAATAACTATAAGTGCAGACTGCATGTAAAAATAGGAATCCAAACTTAACATACTTTAAATACTTCGAAAGAGAAAAAATGATCATTTTCTTCTTAAAAAACCTTCCGCCACAAAATATAGTTCCTCATTCAATGCTTTAGGTATGGAATTTAATCATGGAGTTTTAACTGAATATAGTTAAACTGGCATTGTAGAATCCAAATTTATTGTAAGAGTTAAAACATTATGCAGAATTTTTGAAATATAGGTAAAGATAAAAAATCTGCTCAAAAGCTCAGGAGCGAACCTCGTTAAGTTTACTATAGTTAACTAAAGTAAATCAAAGTATAATGTTATCACTATAGTAAATAACAGTTTTGAAAGTTATCACTATAGTGTCATAGTGATCACAATAGTAAATCAAAGATGTCAAAGTGATAACTATGGTAAAAAGTGCCAAAGTTATCACTATAGTAAATCAATTTTCTGTAAAAGAACTCTTATTTTGCCACAAATATATCTTTTGGCGTCTTGTATTAACAATATGAAAATTCCATACACTTTGTATGCAATACTTTTTTTGTTTTAAGTTTTACTGTTTTATTTTGAAACCTAATATTTTTTAAATGAATGGTAATGGCAAGATACTTCTTAAAAGAGTAAAGGTTTGTCTTAAACAAATACAGTGTATCTTTTTTATTGTTTGTTTTTGTTTTGTTTGTTTGTTTTTTGCATTTTTTTTTTTTTGTTTTATTAACAATTTTGATATTAAATGGAAGACCCACAGATATATCAGTATGGCAAATTATTAGTATACAAATGTGTAGGGTTGTACACGGCGATATAAAATACATCTGAATGATACCTGCAGTAAATCAAAGTGTCAAAGTTATCACTATTGTTTCTTAGTGATCAAGATTCATCACTGTAGTAAATCAGTTTCAAAGTTATCACTATAGTACTCTACTTAAATCAAAGTGTTAAAGTTATCATTATAGTTAACAAGAGTCTCCATAGTGTCAGAATCATCACTATAGTTAAGTAAAGTTTACTTTAGTTATCTATAGTTAACTATAATATTGTTTGTTAGGAAAGGCTCAGATGAGGATTTTAAAAACCTACCTTTGAAGGCTGCTAGGGTTGTGATACTTTATAAAGTTTGACAAAAATATCTGAAAGGTAGCATCCGAGAGCATTATCTGACTAGTAGAAAGTTCCCTCTTAGCGATGCCCTTGTCGGTTCCATAGCCTGATTCCGATACGTGATTCGATTCTGATGCATGTGTTGATTCGGAGGAAGGAGCTGATTCAGTGGAATCGACATTTTCATAAACAGGAGGATCGATTGAACTCTCACTAAGGATGTTTAATGAAATTTCACTTGACATTTTAAGGAATTTGGGGAGGGGGGACTTCCCAATAGTTGTATCTTTATGTGGCTGAAAAAACTGAAATAGTAGGAGTGGTTTTGAAGACAATTCGTTCGGGATAAAAAAGTAGATAATTTCTCGGACTAACCACTCTTCAAATTAAGGCAGAGGTAGCCTCCCAACCGTTCCGTTCTCCTTTTTATTCTTCCATGCAGCGTTTCGAATTCTGAAAATAATTTCGAGAAGCTTAAAGCAGGAAATCGTTGCATCACGCAATTTTTGTTAAAATAAAACAAAATTCTTACATCAGTAAATGCTTGGATTTTTATTTAAAGACTGCTCGAAATCTTTAATAAATGTGTTTGCAACGTTTTTGAAACAGAAAATGAAGATACCAAACATAGCCAAATGTCCATCATGCGTAAATTTCACCTCTGTGTTCGATATTGCTATTATCAGTCAATGATCTTTTGATTTGAAGTTTTTGTCACGTGAAAATTTGTAAATTGTACATTTGCCCCTTTATACATATTTTTTTTCATTTTAAATCTATCTTACTGCTTTCTTCTTATTTTTAACTCTACTACAATGATTTTACACTGATGCTGATTTCCCCCAGTACACTGTGGAGATACTAGTAGGTCATCTGCCATTTGCTTTTAATGATTCTATAACATGATGACATATTCTGTCAAAACTGCCGTGTACTCGCAGACCTTGGCCTGGTGACAAAGCAGCAGTTGTCACAAGGGGGCGACTATTAAACTGCACAAACTTCAACCTCTGTGTTCACATAGATGTTGGTGTCAGGCGGTGCAAGTTATGTCCCCTACTTCCCATTCAGTATTTTAACGAGTTTATGAGACATACCTGTGTTTTGTTCGAAATAAATAGTAAAATAATTAATTTTTAAGGTATGCATTGTTGTTTCGTTATTCTAATGTCTTCGACACTTGTAGATGTGGAACATCTAATGCAGTCTTTTTGACTTGGTTATATTAAGTTATGGGGGCTTTAAAATAGTTTTTGCCAAAGCATTCACGGCTTATATTACAATCTGAATTAGTTACACCTCCGCAACGAAATTGTAAGGTGAGTATGCTTGTAATATTTCCGTGCCAAATCTTCTGCATGTCAAGCTGTCTGTCTATCTGTCCGTTTTAATGTCTGTAGAGGTTTTAGCTCAGTATGTAGATTACTTTCCGGCTTTTGGCTTGTTGCAAGGGATATCCAAGCCAAAATTGTAGATATGTTCCGCTTTGGATACTAAATGATAAACATGCATTGACTCTGCCCTTGTGGGGGTTATCAGTCAACTTGAGTTTTATGTTAAAGTTGGGCAATCAAACAACGGAGAGAAAACAACGTAGAAATGTTAAACGTTTTGTTGAAGTTTTATTTTTAGGAAAATGAAATTAGAATTTTATACTTTGCAAATCGTTCACTGACGAAAATGAAAGGAAGGTTTTCTGATTTAGAAATAATGTTTTTCTCCATGGGATATCATAAATAATAAACACACCACAGAGGGAATACACAGAAATAAAATGCAAATATTTTTATACTAAATATCAGGAAAATTTCGCACAACAAAATGTTTTAAAAGAAAGATGAACATATTGCTTGTGTTTATCGGTTAGTTCGAAGAAAAAAATTGTTTTTAATACGTAAAGTATTCTCCGTGCTGACAGTTTAATAAATATTGCAAAAAATACTAATTTCAGTGGTATCTAAATTAAAATTTTACACTAGTTTATAGCTGTTATCAACTATTACACTCACCTAGTAGTTATTCTACCTGTCATTTGATTTTGATAGGTTTTTTTTTATATATATACATATCTACATTTGAAAACCAAGAGAAAATAAAATATGAATTGATAAATTCTAAATCAGTCGAAGAAACTGAAAATTAGGAAACATGAAAGCACTGATGCAAAGAACGTTCATTTCTATTATGCAGATAGGTTTTTATCGTTAATACGTGTGAATTTTTTTTTTCAAATCATGCTCGTCTTTCGAGGTGATTTTATTTTTATTTAATTGTTTATTGTATGGGTGTGTATAAAAATCTTTTGTGCCCTAACATGTAAATGATACCCTCCTCAATCTTATTGATTTCATGGATAGGGCCTCCAATGTCATTTCAAATCCTGAGTTAAGTTTTTAGGCAAAACTTCAAAAGATAGTAATTTTCATCTATCCAAATCAAGTAACTGACTGTACTTTTTTCCATCACAATTAATTTTTTTATTAAATGTAATGCTTTTGAGTGTGAGTTATTTGTCATTAATTTTTCAGATATTTATAACCACGTTCCAAGACAGTAAACTGAGAACAAACTTGAGTCAAACTCTAGACTTTGAATATCTTGATATTTATTTCACATACATGCTTTAAATGTTGCAAGTTTGTATAATATTTAGTTGCAAACATAAACTGAATATTTTGTTTTCTTTTCAAATTTCAAAAGTTATATTTATTTGAAATTTTGACTTAAGTCTGTTCTCAGTTTATAGTCTTCTGACCCGGTGAGTTACATGTAGCAATTTTGAATGTTGTTCATAGGAATACAGAATCACTTTAAATGTTCTTTTGTTGCATTTGATTTCTTAAAACAAAATGTATTTTTAAAAACTTTGATCTTTGCTTTCACTGTTTTCTTTTAACAAAATGATCTTGAAGATTTTGAAGCTGAATATAAATAGAAAAATAAATGAACAAGCACAGTTATTGTTGTTTGTACGTTCTTAATTAGGAGAGACACAGAATTGAAAATATAGAATTGTAAAACATATTTCAAAAAAATCGTAGATGTAGAAGGACATATTTAGTTATAAAGATAATGAATACTTCATAAATAATTTTTTCTGAGTATAAAGGATAATTTTTTTTTTGTTTTTTGTTCTACCAATATGACTTTTGTATACACACAAAAAAGTTCTTGTCTTTCAATACTTAAGATACTTAAAGTGTTTAACTTACGATTTTGCAGAGTCGCTGTAAAAACATGCATCTGACACTATTTCCAGTTGCTAAATGCTGCTGATATGTGGGTTGTTGATGACGACCTTCAGTGTGACTTGATTATGACATTTTTGTGCGGGCCTGTATTCACTTTACTGGCCAATCCTGCAGTTTGTGACAAACTTATCAAATATATAAAATGGTTCTATACAATTTCATAATATCAATGTGATTTATGGTCTTATGTAATGGTAAAAGTAGCAATCGTGCGTTTTTCTTGCTTTCATGTAAGAGAAATCATACAATGAAGCTTAGATAATTTTTATATTCAAATCACACTGTTAATCCAAAGCAACATAGCAGTTCTATAATTCTGAAGTGATGGGCATATCATTTAACGTATTATATACATGTATTTTATTTAAATTTTTAAGTATATATACATAATCTGTTTAGAGTTTATGCACAGGTATTCATAAGGAAAATGAAGGAACTTAACCGGTACATTTTTCATCAATTAATGTGTATGATGTGTTAAAGTACCATTTTTATATATATCCTTCTATCATCGTCTAATCATCTTTCAATCTTTAATGTGGGGTTAAAATGCATCTTAATTTTGTTCTTGATAATTGTTGTATTTTATAAGATCCAAATGAAGGAAATGAAGCATTTTTCTGAATTCCATTTACGCACACATTGATTATTAGATGAACTAATACATATAAAAGGAAATGAATGTTGATCCTCGGTTCTTTAACAGGTGGGGGTAGCCTAGTGGCAGGGCGCTCGCTTCGTAATCGGGAGGTACCCGATTCAATTCTCGTTCCCGGCGCTGCGTCAAACCTAACGTACGTAATGACTTCGTTCGCCAAGCGCCCGGCATTAGAAGTGAAAGTCACGAATCTTTCGGATGAGATCTTAGAAAACGAGGTTCCGTGTCACGGTAGGCGTTGGGATGATAAAGATCCCTAACTGCTCCATTGCCCTGAGTGCCAACTCAATGTCTAAATTTGAAGCCCTTCATCGGTATATGGTGACGTTTCATATGAGTAAAAAATTCTCGAATGGGACGTAAAACAACAAACAATCAATCTTTCTTGTTTAGGACACAACGACACAAATAATTAGGCAAATAAATATTAAAATATTCCAAGTAAGCAAACACATTTCAATGGAAATTTATTTTTCAATATCATTATTATTAATTTCTACATTTCAAAATATTTGAAATAATTGTTAATACCTATAGGAAAAAAATTACAATGATTACATGGATACCTCGCTGACTGTACGTTTGCATACACCTTCCTTTCGCTCTCCACTCCTCTGCGCACAGGTCATGTTCGCATAATGTTTGCTCTGTTTATCACGGTTTCTTTCGCCAAGCTTTGAAGCATTTCAAGGACTCTTCCAAATAGTCTGTAATTGTAATACAAACTACCATATAGGAAATACAACAAACAACACATGCACTTAAATTACATCAAATGCAATAAACTAGATGGCATGTGCCAAATTCAGTATCAAAAGTCATACAATTTCATGTAATATGGGCTTACCATATACCGTATAAATGGAACTACACCATATCAAAAAGCAGCCACCAGAAATTTTGGTTTTTAATAATAAGAAACAAATACATTTTGTTTATGATACAACCATTTTAGAAACGTTGAAACAGAGTAACTGGCCGCTCTTCAATATGATTTAAATTCGTTAGATTTTTTCAAAAGTAATCGAAGAACAATCGAACAAAGACTTAATTTAGAAACAATAACATTTGAACATAAATTTTATAAATGAGGAGATATGTTAACGTTAGAGGTGCTTGAATGTGTTTACCGATGACAATTTGAAATGCTAGCGGATCACATATTAAATAATCTGATCATAGAGTTGCTACTTGTGACATCTGACAGAGATTTCATCATTATTGTCCAGGGCAGAAAAATGGACTTTTTTTTTGGAAATCCCAGAGATTATTCACGTGATCAATTAAATTCACAATGAAGTAAACAACAGCTGGGTGTTCATTTACCATTATTTACATTTGCAAATATTTTTCTTAGATGAACCTATAGAAGAGAAAATATGTTCAATTCTGTATGAACTTATTAGGGGGTCAGAGGTCATGGCGTGACCGAATCACACAGCGAGACGATATCTTGTCTACATATTTCTGTCACAGTGACACTGGTTTCGGAACTTCTGAACCGTCAAAGCGATGAAAAAGATAAAATTATTGACACATATATTTTTTTTTTTCGTTCAACAAATGATCGTTAGATCTTTCTTCGGTGTGAAGAATGTTTCTAATTAGCCTAAAATCACGCTTACCTCTTTAACCCGAAATTCCTTTGAAGGTATGTAAACTGAAGACGATAGCACCGCTTTTGACTTTATATATAAAGAACTCGTACAATAATAGTAAGATAATTCCCAGTAGCGATCATTGTTTTTTCATTATGAACAGATATTTCCTGAACTGGACTGCTAAACATCAATGTAAGTATTCAAATGTTGGAGCGAGGCGAACTCTCAAGACCAAACAACTTCTAGGTCATTGCGCGTCACAACATAGCAATACGGCGGGCCGTTCGTGTAATAAATGCAGTCCTATTCAGAATATTCGTCTCAAATGTAAATAAAAGTAATAAACAACAATGTTAAAAAGTTCACTGGGAAATGAACTTGGTTGGTACGTGATCAAATCTTCTGAGAAGCCCTTCGGGCTTCACAGGATTTGATCACGTGACCAACCAAGTTCATTTCCCAGAGAACTTTTTAACATTGTTGTTTATTTCTTAATTAACAAACGTCAAAATACACACATTTTGACCACACAGGTGGCGAGGTTTGTTTACACATTCGTTCAATTATGAAATATTTTAACGGTGAATAATGGGTGCAAATAACATTAACACATGTGAACGCTTGTAATTCTGTTACAAAAAAAAAAAAAAAAAAAAAAAAAAAAAAAAAAAAAAAAATCAGCTCAATATTACGTTATTGAAGGCATACTAAGGCTTATTCGTGGATTAATGGATGTTCGTTTTTATTTCTTTAATTATAAAGTATACAAACATGTATATTTATCTTTAAACAAAATATGAGATACAAAAATATTAACACTGTTAGTTAAATGCTATGTGTTATAATCTCTGCAATACTATATAGAGGTGTATTATTAAACTTCTTGGAAAGAAATATGAATGATTTCCTTGACTTTCGTTGCTTTTGAAATTATTTTGGGTGAAAATTCCTATAGCAGCTGCAACTTATAATTACACTCTCTCTGTGAGCTTTCTTAATAAAACTATAAAATGAGCTAAATCATTATCACATTGAATCGTCAAAAACCAATTTCCGTTTAATATCTACACGTTATACTAAGTTATTATCCACATCAACTATTTTTATATGTGAGATTCTCTCTTATTAGCAATATTGAAAATTTGCAACACCTGGGATATATCTGAGGTATTGAATTAAAAAAAAATATAAGGAAAACAACATTGATGTAAGCCATGCTGTGGGACTATTAGACGTTTCTTATAACATTGTTCTAAATCAATGCTGTCTTTCAACAATTTTATCTTTAGAAGAAAGACCCTAGCTCTTTATTTGATATGCTTTCTTCACCACTAAAAGGCAACTGCATTTATACCATAATAGTACTGGATTACATGTATATCGACCAAAAGTAGGAAATGATTTATATGTTTACAAGACGTTTTATTTATTAGCACATGTATATTGATTCTTCAGTAGTGTCATCTTCACTAACCGAAAGGAACTGTTTTATTTTTTAAATGATTATCTGGGCACGATTGTGCTTAGATCGTTACTCTGGAGGCCTTGGTGGAATTGGACTCAAATTTTGGAATTTGTGTTTCGTGTCAAAAAAATTATGCCATTGCCTTGAGTTCCAGGCATTTCTGGATAGTCAAGGTTACTCTGAATAATTACATATTGACATCGTTTCTGGCCAAAGCATTCAGTTGGAACCATTGGTTAGAATGACATTTATATGGTATTGTCCATACGTTAAGGACATTGGATACAAAAATTATCATAGAAATTAATAAAACAGTTTGTAAAGGATTTATTATTGCTAAAACACACGTTAAGGCCATTCCAAGTAGTTTCTATGTTTAGCGTCCGCGTGCGCATTGGTTTTTGACACCCAATATGAGAAAAAACAAACAAAATCAGGAGTCCTGAAATTGATTATTCTGGTCAAAATCTTTCAATTCTGTCAATATCTCTAAGTATTTGTTTACAAGATGTCATATTAGGTATATTTTAAGCATTTATTACCTTGATTTTGCTAAAGAATAGATTTTTGTGAGAGAAAAATAGGTTAATGAAATGAAATGCTTTATATGTCGTCATTTTAAAGACTATGAAGTTTGTTTTATTTGTTGGCTTGTTTGTTTTTTTTTTTTGGCGAATAGGTAGGTAGGTTTTTAGAAAGATGGGTGGACGCTAAACAGAGAAAAAACTTGGAATGGTCTAATCACGAAATTTTCTTTTATATAAATCATACTTATTCTTTATTATAGACATAAAGAATAAAATACTTGAAGCTTCAAATGAATTGGGGCTTTTTCCCTGAATAAACTGTAAATGAAATACATCAATATTCTGAAAACCCATATATGAGCACATTTTGGGGTAAATTTATCTATTTATTTATTTATTTATTTTTGCTGCATTTCCCCCATAGTAACTGTTTCCCCCTAACATTTAGAAATTTGTTTATGGAAAGCTGACAGGCTTTAAATAGAAAAAATGTGTTGTCAACTGTATAACTGTATCAATGTATATAAATTTATATTCAAAATTAATTTTTTTAATCGTTTCTTGGAAATTTAATTTACGTAATTATATTAAAAATCTACAACGTACGATATAAATACATATTCAAATACATGCATATACATACTTTGAATTTTGATTAGACTTATTTTAAATTTTTTTTAGCTAAATAATTTGAAAGTAAACTTAAGCATTTGATATTTGATACTTCTTATATTGTTTTGATAATATGTACATGCATGCGTGAATC